GGTGGCGGCCGCGCGCCCTCACCTTTGGCGCCGAGCTTGAAGTCGAGCGTGCTGTGCCGTGCTGCTGCCATAGTGAGGCGAGGCCCTGTGCCATGCCTGGGGGAGGCAGCCGCGGGAGACTGGGGGGCCGCACGGCGTGTCAGGCAGCGACCGGCGGGGAGTGCGCCGCGCCGGGGGGAGGCCGAGGGTATAAGGTGGGAGGGACCGCCGGCAGCGACTCGGGGCGCGGGGGCGGGGTCGGCCCGCCTCCGGGAGGGAGGAAGCGAGGACGCCCGCAGCCCCGAACCTAGAGTGCAGGGTGTGAGGCCTCGCTAGTGCAATGGTGGAAACGTGGGCGCCGAGCTCCCCGGCTTGCGTCACCAATGGCCGCGCCCCGCGCCAAGGATCGGGCGGGGGCTCCCGCCATCTGTGAGGTCACCTTAGGTTTAAACAGCGCAGCACGACTTCCGGGGGGCCTACCCCTACACTTCCCCCAGACCGTCCCCCAAGTCAAGCCCCTCTTATTTCCTGGCCAAGTCAAGAAAATAAAATGCTAGGATCCACCCTGTGGTCTAAAAGTGCTGCCGCCTTTTTCTTAACTCTTCAAATGCTACAGTTAAACCCATTAGAATTATTATTACCATTATCATTAGCGAGGGTCTGCTTTGCATTTCAGGACCGAATGGAAAGCTCTTAGGTATTCAAATTACCTACGTTTTCACGCCAGATGAGAATGGGGGAAAGCGAGTGAGAGGATAACGCTGTTAATGTTGATTTGGGAAATGACAGATTCTAGAGTTGCTCCTCCATCACTGATGCCTGTGTTCCGACAGTGAGCCTTTCCGCTGTGGGTTTATCTTTGACTTGGGGGTGTTCAACAAGATGTGGCAAAGGAGAGAACATCAGAGTCTGTGCACTAGAGCCCTCCTTTATTACACTGACAGTATCACTGTGCAAATGCCTCCATCATCCCACCAGTCTTCTCGGCCTGCGGAAGCTCCGCAGGGATTGCTGAACCGGCTGGAGAAAGGTTAGAGCAGTGAACTCATGTACCTCCGCGAAAGCGGGAAGAACCTAGACCATGAATTCCTCTCTCCTGCAGGCAGTCCCTAGTGGCGGTTTTACTGAGTCCTTCACCTTTCTACAAGAACTGGGACATGTCTTCCCAAATGTGCTTCCACTGACTATGCTGTTAAGAACTGGATCCCCTTTTTAGCACCTGCATTAGGCCACCTGTTTGTTACTCTGCGTGTTCCTTTCTTCTGTGGAGCCCAGTTCTGAATTTCGTTAGCTATTCTGCTCTCTCAGCCTTCAGTTTCTATACTTCAGCCTGCAGCTCCTGCTTTCTTCCTGGGACGTTCTCCAATTCTTGCCATTCCTCAGGAGTCAGGTCACTGGGAACGCAGTTGTCCTCCTCCGCCACGTTGCAGGGACAGTAGGGCTCCACAGGTCTCAAGTGTGACTCTCCATGCTCAGCAGCAGGGTGGGCCTCTCGGGCATGTAACCCGTGCAGTGGCACAGGGTCTCACACTGAAGGGCCCTGCACTTGGTTTAATACTGTGTTGCTGTCTCGAAATTCTTAATAATTTTTGAACAGACGGACCCATGTTTTCGTTTGGCAACGGGCCTGCAAATTACGTAGCCAGTCCTGTCCTTGTGTCCTGTAGGGCAGGTGGCCTGGAGGCAACAACCACTGCTCACCTTGGGCTCCGGCTCCTGCTTGGGCTCAGGCTTGAAACCCCATCCCCAGCGCTAGTGCCTCACCTTCCTTCTGCAAGGTGCTAAATAGACAGAGATGAAAATCCTTGAGATGCTTTGCCATTAACTAATCAGGTAGCCATAACAAAAGTGGAGTTGAACAAAAGTGCTTCATGATGTTAGTACATCGTCAGAGATGAATAGGCCTCAATGTGGAACCGACATTGTAGGGGTAATTCTAGCAATTATTGTAAGGATGTCCTTAATGCGTGTATTACCTAGCAATGACACAAGATTATTAAAGGTAGGACATGGACAGGAATCAAGGGCTATGAGTACCTATTCAGATTCTAGAACGTGTTCTCATTGCCTGGATCTTATAATGTGGGCCTCTGGCTTCAAGGCCTGTTACAGGATGAATAATCATTATGTTTGTGGGAATTGCTTGTGTTTCATTTGACCAGTGTATCCTGTGCAGCTGTTGTCACATCAGAGAATTCAGCGGTTCATCCTGCAACAAAAAGGCAGGAGAGGCGTACCCAACTACAGCCTGCATTCTGGGAACAGCCTCCTAATCAACAAAATCTTGGTGATGGTAAAAATGTGGATGTCATAGATTAATGTCCTCTGGCCTGACTGCGTCTGCTCTTGGCCAAAAGGGAGGCCTGCGACAGAGAAGCAGCTCCTGCCATCTGGAGTCCGGCTGGGCACTCTCCTGCTGAACACAGACAATTCCCCAGAACACCAACATCAGACAAGGCCACTCTGTGACGAGGATGGGACAAGACAAAGACAAGACCGTTCTGTAATCAGGTCTGAACTCAGAACACGTGAAACTTGTGCAAACCACAAACGTCACCAAACACCCCCCAGTCCTGGCTGAGATGAGTGACTGCTGCTTCTTTACCAACCACAGCCTCTGTCTAGTCTTCCCTGCTTCTCAAGGAGATTTACTGAGACACCCAATCACGGAGTTCCCCCTGCTTTCCGACAGCAT